AAGCTAAGAATTCTTCCAAGTTTTATTTTTGAAGCAGAAATTTAATAAAAAGACTTTATATTGCCATTCTTCAAGGTGCAAGGACAGAGCTGTATTGAAAGCATCTAGACTCCACCCTCAATTAAAAGAAAAGGCTTCTGTTCCGGCTCTCTCACACCCTGCATCTATACATTATCTGTTATCAGGACACATCTGCTCTCCCCAAAGATTAGAGCTGCATGGTTTCATGCCCTATGAATGGCAGCCGAGTGCAATACCCGTCAGTTTGGCTGGGCTGGTGGGGTTTTTCATCCTGAACAGTTTCAGGTTTTCTCTCTTCTGGAGGATAAGCGGGTTTTGTTGGAAAGCCATCCAGGCAGGAGGAGCAGCCAGCCTGGGCACACGCAGCCTGGAGCACGTGCCCGTGGCTTCCTGGGCCAGGCACAGCGTCACCTCCAGCTCATCATCCCACAACCTGCACTTACCTGTGCAACCCGGCCCCRAGCATTGCCCAAACGCTTCTGCACTGACAACTCCACTGAGCAGGAAGCAGCTCATTTCCACTTTATTACTTTGTTTACCGGCTACATCATTCCACCGTGGGGAAGTTTAAGTGCTTTGTGACATTTCACTRAGAAGATGTTTTAATTTTAAAGTGTCAGTACCACAGGGCAGTATAGGACACTAAAACAACACTCATCCTTCTTCAAGGGGTATTGCCACCTCCTAACCTGCATACGCTGTACACATCACCCTTGTTAAGAAGTTTTCCACAAAATCTTCCCCAGTTAATATAGGGCATATTTTGTGCTTATAAAAACAAGGGCCTTGCCCACATCTCCTAACTTAACAACCAACTCCATGACAGATCACATTGGTTCAGCTCACTTCCCCCAATCCCATGGCTCCTCATCCTTCCTCCTAAGAATCTAAGCTCAATCAACTGCTCATCTTCATTAATCTCTCCTCCAGCTCTCCCCACAGATATATCCTGAAATGCTTCAGCTGTGTTTCCCACAGGAGGCAGTAAACAGACTTTTGCTGAACCAAGAGTTAGCTCTTTCCATACCAACCCACCAAATAATGTGGCAGAAGTCCCTTAACCCAGTTACTACAAACAGACCCAGAGGCAAATATCCAAGTTTGACTTGCAAAGAAGCAAGGAGAAGAGAAAAAGCAATCTTCAGACTGCTCGTTCCTCTTTTGTAGACAAAGTCATTTCTGTAAATTAGGATAATCTCAAGGAGAGAATTAATGCTTAAGAAAGTAAGAGAGGACTGCTTTTTGTTTAATTTGTAGGTGAAAACAAAACTGTCTACACAAAGAACACACACAGAGCAATAAACAAAGCAAGGCAATAAAAAAGTTAGAAAAAACTAGAATAAGGTGATAAAAACCAGCCAGCATGCATTTACAGACAAACAAGCCTGTCTTCCTCCTTTAACTGATCCTTCATGCAATGAGGGGGAGGGAAGAGGAAGGAGCAATAACTCTGAGTTATTTAGACTATAGTAAGGCTTTTGATGTCTTGTAACATTTCCACAGTAAAATATGACTATACTGCAGACTCATCTAAACCACAAGATGTTTTCCAGTTGTGCACCAAGTGTACTCTAAGAGTACATAACAAGCCTTCTGAGTTTGGCATCAGCTATCACCCTGACATTATGCAATGTTTTCATTAACGCTGATGGTGAAACTGTGTGTTTATACAGTTTATGAACAAAGCTGAGCTGGAAGAGCTTRCAAGCACTCTGCTACAAAGTCTAGCCCTGTCTTCCAAACTCAATAAACTGCCGAAGCGACCAGAAGTCATTAGAACGAAGTTCAATAGAAGCAAGAGCAAAGCTCTGTACTTGAGAAAGGAAACAGCAGTCCAAACATGCAGCACGAAGCAGCTGACTAGGCAGCTGTACTGCAGAAACCAAATCGTGATGATATCGTGGCTCAAAGCCAGGTAACCTGATATGTTGTTACTGCAGAAAGACAAAAAAAAAGAAACCCAAAAAAACCCAATCAAAACCAACCTCAAACTCACACATCACTCCAAAAACACTGTAAGAAAGGGAGATAAATCATTCTTCTCCCTGGCACCACTGAAACCTCAGTTGAAGAAACATGACCGCTGTATTTTAAGATGCTTCACCACTTCACTTTAAGACTGGCAGCACAGGAAAGGTAAAGCTGAGCAGCAGTATTATTATACTGAAATCAGTATTTCAGTTACTGCATTCCCTAGACCCACAGATAGCTCTGGGAATGTGCTGAGAGCAAACACTGTCCTGCCACACTCACACCCCACCTGATGGCTACATCCTGAGTGATGCTCATGAGAGCTCATGAGATGCTCTCATGCTCATGCATCCTGAGAATGCTTCATGCCTTCGGATGGCAAAGGAATAAGTCCACATTTTTACCTGCACTTTCAAAGCTCTCTTCCTGCTCTCCCTCACCCACAAAACTGCTCTGCAGGTCTGCTATGCAGAGCATTCCATCTCCTCCATACTGCTCTCACATATTACATGTTTATAGCTGCAATTTTCCAACTTTCCTACCTATAGAGAGGAGGGTAAGTACCTTAGGGCCAAATTCCATGTTTTTTTTAATTTCTGTCTATCCATTTCACCTCCTTAAACATTCTATAACACTTCCCACTGATAAAAATAGTGGYACATTTAGATCTCCTCTTTCTTCTCCTCCATCATGAATCTTGGCTGGGGATAAGAATCTTACTGGTAGTTCAACGAAGGCTAAACCACACCTCTCCCAAGGTGCCTGGGCATTACAATCTTCAGCGCAGTGCTGAGCTCAATTCTAACAAGAACTACATCCCTCTGCTCCAAATTGATTCCAATATAATTATTTGTACGAATGACCAAAAAACAAAAGGAAAACAAAAAAAAAAAAAACAAACCAAAAAACCCAAACCAGATTGCAAGCCTGTTTAAAGCCTGCTTCTTTATGCTCCACTTGGAGACTGAACTTACAGTGTTCCAGGATTTTGAGGCTCTGTAGAGAAGTGAAGCCTGTGGGAAGCTGAGTGGTCTGCTTCTCCTCTGCTCTTTGCTATTAATTTGTGACGATTGGAAGCAGGTGACTGCACACTTGRCTGCGTGTGTCCTGTGGTACAGCTGCTATGCAGAGAGCAGCACATGTAAACATTTGCATGATTCGTGCCTCCTAAGAGGCTCTGTGGGCCGCATGTGGCATTTAGGCAGCACTTTCACAACCCCCTTTGTGCATGGCACTGCTCTATTATATCAGCACACAGTTAAGCTAGAGGGATCCACTGAAATGGCTGGAGATACTCTCCCATGTTTGGCAAAATCCATGATTTATTTTCCACATTTTGCTAATTATCTTAAAAGAATTTCAAGACATAACTTCTGAAGGATTTCTCCCAGTTTGTGGTAAACACTTTACAGTGGATGAGAATCTCAATATATTAACTCCCAGCTCAGGGTAAAAGGAAAAAAAGMCCACAAAAAATACTCCAGCACCCTAATAACTTGCTTTCTATACAAATTTGGTTTCCCCTACACCAGACTGGCTAAAAACAGGCATCTGATCACTTATCATACAGCAACTGAAAATGTTTCCAACGTTCTAACTCCTTCTGCCTAAAAATTAAAGAAAGGAATAGACAAAGGTCATGTAGATGTTGAGYTGCTAGAGCAGAACATTTTAAAGCTGCAAATATTGASTTGGGTTTTACYTRGCTATTTTGAAATATAATTTCACCCTGACAGTAAATAGTTTTCAAACTTCAGGGTCTGGTATCAAAATCTAAAAAGATTCTAAAAACAACCAGCCTTGCTGCAATAGGTAGTGTGAAGGTTTAGGCAGTTAAGAAACAAGGAGAGGAAAGCAATGAGAAAGGCCCATTTCAAAACCCTGGTACTTAAACCCCATTAATTTATTACTGCTTCTGTACTATCTGTGCTRTCATCACACCATATAATCCTTGCAGCATATACAGACAAGAAATCCACATAAGAGTGGTCATTTATGCAGTGTCGCTATTAGCAAACATGTCATTAACAAACCTAATTAAGATGCGTATGTCATGTAAGTGTCAGCATTTAATATGTGAATATCTGAGCTATAAAAAAGTGCTTCTCAAAACACCAAAGTGATTATAACAGAAACCGAATGTGTTTTTAAACTGAAAGCAACCAGGTAATAGAATCATCAAAACTTTAAGAAACACGGATTATTGTTTTTAATTAACAYCTGGAATACTACGACAAGCACTCGTAAGATTTGTTTAGAAAAATAGTCTTGCTTTAACTAACACGAATCAATAATCACTGCTCCTGTGGATCAAAATAGAAGTCATGACATATTTCCAACTCTAGGGGCATCAGCAGCTGTTGCTATACGGCAAAAGAACTCAAGTGTTATAAACATATACGCAGACTGCCGTCTTGATTTTTCTGTAAAACCAGATGTCAGTAATCCGATAAGATATAACCAAATAATCGTGAAAAATTTATACTTCACCACGCTTGTTATGAAATATCTCCATTATAACTAGGGAAAAAAGCACTGTCAGTTTATAAAACAACCCAGATGTAAGTTATGGTTATTTTCAGGGTGTTTTTCAGCTATATTTGGACATTTGTGTACATCTGCTGGCTTTGTCTGTCGATGGCCAATTTGCCTTTGAGGGACTCTCGGCACTGCAGGTCTGTGCTAACGAGCCGGCTGTGTCTGACACACGAACTGCAGCATTCCCACAGCAAAAGCACTCGGCTACGGCGTTTGTCTCCCTTCCATCCAGCCGAGACAATGGAAAGCCGAAGGGCAGGCAGGACACGGGCTGTTAAAGTAACCCCCTTCGCGGGGCACCTTCTGGCATTTCCCCAGCCGAGCCCGAGTACCTGGATTCTTTCCCAGCCCCCAAAATGACAGGGGAGGGGATAAGGAAACAGAGCGATAACATCGGAACAAAACACCGGGGCCACTTCCAATCCCAGCGACAAAACAAACAAAAAGAAATGTACTGATAAGCCGTTTACCTCGTTCCGGCTTCATCTTCCCTGCTGCCTCAGCGAGGTCGGGCAGGGCCGAGGTGCCGTGCGGCTGTCCCCGCGGAGCCGGGCTGTCGCTGCCCCGGCCAGCGGTGTCACTGGCGCTCCGGGAGCGGGCACAGCCGGCGGGAGGCGGCCCCGCTACAGCAGCTGGGCCCGCGGGCGGGCGGGCTGGCGGCGGCCGGCCGGGGGAGGCTGCGCCCGGCCAGGGTGTCCTTCCGTGACACGGCGCCGCGCGGGGCTATTTATAACCTGCCGGGGAAAAAATCCCACAACAACAGACCTCGGCTCACCCCCGGCCGTGCCGGCTCTGAGTCACCGCGGCCCCGGGCGACGGCAGCCCCTGCTCGAGTCCCCTCCCTCCCTCTCAGTCYCCCGCCCGCCCGCCTGCCCCAGGAAGGCAGCGAGCCGCCCCCCGCCCGCCCCGTCGAGGCCGCGGCCCCCGCTCGGTCACGGGCCGCTGGCTGGCGGCGGGGGGCAGCGCCGCACCTCCATCCCCGGCCCCGCCGCTGCCGCCCAGCCTGCCGGGCCGTGCCCCCGCGATGCGCCCCGGTCACACAGCCCGCCCCGCCCGCCAAGCGCCGCTCTGCCTGGCTCTGCCCCCAGCCCTGCCTCCTCCTCCTCCTCCTGCTCCTCCTCGCCGCTAACTCCCCTCCTCTCCGCCGGGCACTCCCCGCCTCCCGCCGAGTGAGGCACACACATCACAGCCCGGCGGCGGGCAGAGCGGGGCAGGGCGAGCCGGGGCAGGGCAGCTCGGCCGCAGGTACCCGCCACGCTCGGCCGCCAGCCCAGGGGAACGGGGCCACCGGCAGCGCCCGCCAGACCCGGGCCCCGGCCGGCCCCCGCCCGCCCCACGTGCCGCACGGCCGCCAATGCCCCGCGCGTTCCTGCCCGCCCGCCGTCCGGCAGCCCGGTTGTCACGGCAACACAGCGCGGCTGCGGCACGGCACGGCTCGGCACGGTCCGGTCCCGCCGCTGTCCGGGGACACCCCGTCCCCTGCACTGCAAACGGCGCCGCTGGGTCTATGGGTTCGCATAAACGGTATCGTCCCTTCTTCCCTAAACCCTCGCCCCCCGCCCCCCCTCCGAGTGCTTTGGCAGTCAGGTTCCCACCCCAGGGAAGGGAAGCTGACCCTCGCTCACTCACCCTGCTCCGGAGGGGTCTATCGCGGCCCCTCACCCGCGCCTTTCCCGCAGTGCTGTTAGCCTCTGGCCGGCTTTCCCTCTCCGCACAAGTGTCTTCCCACTCTGGCTCTCCATGTGCCCCCAGGAGCCCGAGCCCCTCCCCACCGGGGCTTAAATACACGTGTGTATGGGCGGCGGCGGAGCGCCCATCGCAGGTGTGAAGTGCCCGACGGGGGATGCTCAGTCCCGCCCGCTGACACCGGCTCACACCGCTGCGGGGCGGGGAGAGGCGCTCGGGGTGTCCCTGCCCCGGGGGAACTCTGCCCCGCGCCCGCCCTGCCCGGCAGCGCTGTGCTCAGCGCTCACTGAACGCTGATAACTACCTTGTGCGGAGGAACAATGGAGTCAGCTGGGATGCGGTTACACAACCGCCTTAATCCAGCAGAAATTCAGGTTTCCCTGAAAGGGACGGGCCGGCGCCATCCCTCACGTCAGGCCTGCACGGCAGCCTGGTAAAGCAGGTCAGGAGCGGGGCTGCCGAGTGCGGACCCCGTGCTCTGCCCCGAGCCTCCCCCATGGCTGTAAACGCTAATGCACCACGGAAAATGGGGGATCAAACTGCCCTGGTGATGGCGATCCCTCTTTCACCAGGGGCACAGATCTAAGCCGGCTATAGTGGCCTCTAGACGGCAGAAAGAACTGTCTGAAAGGGGAAGTTGTGCTGCAGAAGAGCGGGAATGTCAACGTGCAGCCAACCTGGAGACCGCACCACAGCCAGGGCAGGCCCCATGGACAGCTCTGTTGCTTCGATTTGGACTCGGTCAGAAAGGCAGATGAGACAATACTGAGCTTCATGTGTTGTAATGTGGTCCCATAATTGGGATGTATGCAGACACCACCACATCTCCAGTCATTACCCTGGTAATTGCCTGCACTGTGATTGTTTGCAAACATCCTCATTTTATAACCTGAGTCCTATGGGAGGCACTCCCTCAACAAGGTAACTTGCACATACACAAGTCTGACCCTTGTGCATGGCCTAGCCAATTCCCCATTCTTTCTAGTGTGCCAGGGCCCCTGCAGATGTGTGTACATCTGGGTTCTGTACTCCTTTCTCACAGCTAGCTGAGCAGCCACGGAAAGTATTGCAAAGAATGTAAAATTCCATAACTATTCAGTTCTACACTGTTTGGCTCGTATGAACTGCACCTATTTCCCTCTCTTGTTTATCAGTTGTGTATCATTACACTGGGAGGGTGCTTCACAGAATAAACTGTGCTGTAAACACCTCTCAGTTCAGTCATGGTCAGGTAGRAGTTGCAGTGCTTTGATTTTACACTGGTAAGTACATGAGTGTCACTTCTGTTGCTGTGTGACTGCTGTAGACGTGTTTGTTAATTACAGATCGCRGAGCTCTCTGCCGGATGCAATGTAATTGCAAATGTGGCAATGCAAAATTATAAAAGGAAGAATTTGACTGAGCAATAAATACTGTGGGTGCATGCATATGAAGTTCAGGCGTGACTACAGTGGGCATGATTCAGCCACCTGTCAGATCCTCCTAGTCATCCTAATGAAAAGTCACATCCTTTAGGACACTAATTGTTTCTGTAGGAYACTGCAAATTAGTTTGTACCTTGTTCTAATATTGCTTTTACTGCCAAAACCAAATCTGCTTTTCTACAATTTAATTACAACTGTAGCTATTTAGCCATTAAGCTTCACATAGTATTCTTAATAGTTTTAAAAGTTTTAATCTCACTGTGGCACTTTTTATAAAACAGCTCGTCAGACACAAATAGACCCAACTTCCAGGAAAATGCTCTAAGTGCTTTTTCCATTTTCTTAATTAATGAGCCAACTAGCTTCCCATTACCTTGTAGTTCTTAGGAGTTCAAGCCAAAGGGAAGTTAGGTGCCAGCCTGAAAACCACTTCACATTAAAGCAGTTTTAAAGCACAGGGCAAGAGACAGCCACATCTGGTGTGCAGTCCCACTCTATGTGACCATGTAGGAGACTTCAGGTTCAGCTTCTCCTCTTGTGTCAGCACATTCCTGGACCCTGAGAGCCATGGCTATGTCTGAGATACATGCTTCAGGTCCTGCTTCACTTCAGATGAAGGACTGTTTCCCTTCTGACCACACAGACTCATAGGTGATCTGAAAAAAGGCAGAACACAAAATTTAAAATGACCAGAGAGATCTAATTATATGATATTCCATRTATAAACAATAAAAGTAAAATAACAATAAGCATCCCAGGCAAATTTGTGGGACTTWGTTTGGGTAAAACAGCTAAAAATATCCTTGAATTAATAATATTGCTCCCAGTCACAAAAAAAAATTATGAGCACTGCATGAGTACACAGAGAAAATATGGGATAAGGGGCTTCAACCACGAGAATTTGCTTATACACACTTGGAAATCTTATTAGGGCTATGACAGTACTGAAATGCATTTCTGACCTCGGAAGCATAACCTCAACTTAAAACATCCCCAAAGCACAGGGTTTCATTACACACCACCCAAAGGCAGGATTAGCTTAGAAACACARACAGAACTTTAACTGCCCTCCCACTGCCAAGTCCAGACCAACACATTCTTCTGGGAGCACAAGCAGGGACAAGAACAGGTTTCTGGTCCACCTCTGTCTCATGGCTGGTTAACCTCTGTGTCTAAACAGGTGAGACCCTAGGCAGCATCCGTGTGGACAAAGTGTCTTTTGCACATATGGTTCATGAGTTTTGGTGRCAGTTTCTCTCTGGAATCCTTGTCAGGGCCCCCCATCTCCTTTTCCTGAAACGTGCCAGGCTGTTTCTCTTGTGAACAGTAACCATGTGTGAGGCTTGCCTCAAACTGGCCATTGGATTTTAAAATGTCCTCACCTGGGGCACAGTAGTGTCTCATAAAATTTGTTCGTATAGAAATTAAGTTTTAAAAAATAAAAAAAAATAAGATAAATAATGGCTGGTTTCTTCAGCACTTAGGCTTTTGGCACTGTCCCTGCTACCTGAAGGAGAGTGTATTTTAGGCTCCACCCCAAGTATCTTTTTAGCTTTAGCTAAAGAAGTGATGTCTGATGCCATAGATCAAGATTCCTGTGGTTCCTGGTGACAATTACTGCCTGTTAAGTGATGTGGCACAACTGCTTGTGACATGGCTGCCACCTCTGTGGTAAAGTGCCACCACACTTGGGAGAATRTTATTGCAAAACGATGAAGAAAACCAGAAATAGACTGGAAGGTACAGTATGGAACAAATTTGAAGTGTGCTAAAAAAAAASCTATGAAGAACCAGCTATCATTTAATTGTCACCAGTAGTAACCATTTTGCAAAGAAATGAGTTATGTGCTTATAGGAATGTTTTAGTTCCGAAAACTAATAGATYCCTACAAACTGTTACTGAAACTGAATTATAAATCTTTATCTTATAAGTGTATCTAGTTGAATGGACAAGAGTTTGTCATTATTCTTTCTCAGGATACCTATAACCCCAATAGCAAGGATTGCCTGAGACAATCATCCTCTCTGTGTCTGCCTGCCTYTGTGTTATGCTGTTGGTTTCAGCCTCCAGCACCTGTGAGTACTTTTAGCCCCACTGATCTCTTTTTGACAGCTTGATTCCAGTATTTAAATAGCATYGACCCAATAAGATTTAAAAATACATTAGAAACATCCAAACTGCATTTCCCATCCTTACCATTTTCAGGTAACCTGGCTCATTATATCATGCAGAGATACAAGATTGGCATCAAGGTGGTGCTTTCAGATCTCCTCATCTTGCTTTGTTCCAACTGCTCTTGGAGACAGGAAGACCTTGTTGGAGGGTGCTGCAGAGGAGGTTTTGTTCTTCATTCATCCCCAGCCCATGCAGAAGTTATCCCACAAAGYTGATCCCCAGCATCCCTTTGAACAGCCCTTAGGCCTCTGTTATGTTTGTGGCTTGCCTCAGGGTCAAAGAGAGGAAAATGTGCTTGTCTAATGTTTTTGTTTTGAGCCCCAGACTTATGCAATGATGTCTGTCAAGATGGAATATGCTCATGTTCTACAGTACTGCATGATGAGTGCTATGTGCACAGAAATTCAGACTTCCAACCCAGAGTGTCCAATATGCCTGCAACAATGTCAGGCATTTAAATAAAACAGCCTGATTTTCAAAGCCAAACTCACCTCCAGTTAAAATTGACTTCAGCAGAATTTGTCACTC